CTAAGCTCACGCTAAGCTAAAGCTAATCTAAAGCTAAGCTAAAGCTAAGCTAAATCTAAGCTAACGCTAAGCTACAACTAAGCGAAAGCTAATATAAATCTAAGCTAACGCTAAGCTAAAGCTAAGCTAACTCTAAGCTACAGCTAAGCTAACACTAATATACAGCTAAGGTAAATCTAACTAAGCTCAAGCTAAGCTCAAGCTAAGCTCAAACTAAGCTACAACTAAGCTCAAGCTAAACTAAAGCTAAGCTAAAACTAAGCTACAGCTAAGCAAAAGCTAAGCTAAAGCTAAGCTACAACTAAGCTAAAACTAAAGCTAAAGCTAAGCTACAACTAAGCTAAAACTAAAGCTAAAGCTAAAGCTGAGCTTAGGCTAAAGCTCCTAGGGGACTGGGAACCGCGGGGCGGATCCTGGGGGAACTGCCCGGGGCGTTTAGCACTGCCCGGCCCTTTAAGCATACAGGGTAAGAACCCTTCTAGGCAGAGCCTAGGTAGGGAATCATATTTATATTAATATTAGTCATAATATCAATTTTCGTGATATTATCATTATTCTTACTACTATCATAAAGATCATGAGTCATACGTATTTTGTGTTAATATTCGCAGTAGTACTAGTCTTAATAGCACTAACACTCATACTCATAATACTAACAATACACACATACATAAACACATATATACATATATACACATTTATACATATACACACATATATATATATATATATATATACATATGTATACACACAAAACCATCTTCGGTGCCTGAGGCCGCCTGTGCGCCGCTCGCTCGGCGGCTCTCGGCGGCTGGGCCCCTCCCGCTTCCTCCTCCGCGGCCCTCCCGCTTCCTCCTCCGCCCGCTCCTGCCGTTCGCGACCCTCCGCCCCCAGCGTCCGCTGGCGCCGCCGGCAGAAAAAAAACACAGAGTGCTCGCTTGATGCCTCTTCATTCGGCGGCTCAGAGGTGGGATCCTGAGGGCTGGGGCCCCCAGAATCATCAGAAGGGGCCCAACGGGTGGATTTGCGCTGCTCGAGACGCTCCGTCCTCGGGGCCCCATCCCTCAGGACCCCATCTTGGAACCACCGACTCGCAATTTTCGAGGTTCGCTTCAATCGAAGAAAAACAACGACATAAATATAAGCTTGTCGCTCTCCGCGCGGATTTCTTGGACCCCCGCTGGGCCCCCCCAGCGGCGCCTCCGGCGCCGCCCCTGGCGCGCTCCGCGCGCCAGGGAGGGGGTCCCAGCGCAGGTCCAAGAAATCCGCGCGGAGCGCGAACATTTTTTTTTTTTGCTTCTTCTGTTCGAGGCCCCGCCCGCCCGACCCGCCCGCCCCTCCAGGGGGGCGCTCGCGCGACCTGCCCGTCGGGGTCCGGCCGCCTGCCGGCGTGGGGGGGAGCCCGCCCGCCTGCCTCTGTCACGCTCGTGCCCGCCCGGCCTGCCCGCGCCATCACCACCCACCAAACCACCCCAACCCAACCCGAAGGCTCAGATTTACCCTCGATTTCTAGTGGGGGGGGGGTCTGGGAACATCGAAAAAACACATATGGAGCCCATACCCCCCCCAACCCGAAATTCGGGTCTTCGGGTTGGGTTGGGGTGGTCTGGTAGGTGGTCACGTCAGGAGTGGCGCTGTCGCCTCGGTGCAGGGCTGGACCTGAACGCTTTCTTGCTGGACTTCCGAAAAGGACCCCCAACAAAAATTCCCGAGGGGGGGCCCCAAGGCGCCCTCGGACGGCCGAAGAGAGCCCCTAACACGGCACGAGGGGGCGCAGGGACGGTCCAAAGGCGGTCCCAAGGAAAGTCTTTCCACAGAGGGGGTGCGATTGGAGACGAAGAGGGCGGGTATCGAGGGTTTGGGGTATGTGGCAGGGCTGAACGCTGTTTTGCTGAGCGCTTTGCAGACGACGTCCTACTGCTCGCACCCATCCTGAGACAACTGAAATGTACTCTTCGTGATCTCAAACAAACAGCGTCAAAATGTGGGCTCGAGATACACCCAAACAAGACAAACATCCTCACGAACATAAGCCGGCGACAGGGGCGAACGATTATTCACGTTGACATCGACGGCGACGGAGTCGAAATCCTCAACGACGAACAGAGCACGAAGTACCTCGGCCGGAAGCTTACATTCCACGACTACCACCACACCGAGCTCGCCAACATAATCGCAATGGCATGGCGCAAATTCAACCAATTGCGCGACAAACTAACGAGCAAACGGTCCCGCTCCACAGCAGGCTCCAGCTATTCAGCGGCGCCGTAACACCGACAGTTATGTACGGCTGCACTTCGTGGACTCTTACCAAAGACCTGCTCTTGACATTACGACGTGCACAACGACGTATGCTACGACTCATTGTGAACACTCCGAGGCGACGGGAGAGCACCCAACAGAAAGCAGCAGCCGACGACGACGCCCAGTCCAACCCTGCCCGCACCGACGATGACACCAGCGACAGCACGATCGACGCAGGAAGGGCGACGTCGAAGACGATGCAGGACTCGAGCCATGGGATGAGTTCATTCGCAGAGCCACACATGCGGCTACAGATTTCGCTGCCTGTTCTCACGTGGACGAGTGGACCACAGTATACTACAGACGAAAATGGCTGTGGGCAAAGCGAGTGGCAACACACTCGAACCTTAGATGGACAAGGCTTGCGGCAGCGTGGGAGCCGGAAGTCCACGACAATCGAATGGCACAGCGCTGACATGGACGACAACGCAAGCTGTGGTGCGACGACATATTACAGTTTATCCACATCCAAACTACCACCGAACATTGGTTAGATTATGCTTGTGAGCAGAACTTATGGGACAGCTGGGAAGACGCCTTCCTCCACCACATGCAATAACCGGGCTCCGGCCCACCCGCGCTGCTCCTAGGGGGCCCGCCGGCCGTCCAGCGGACTCAGCGCGCTCCTGTCCTGTCCTGTCCGGCTGTGTTTTGTTTTTCGTTTTTGGCAGGGGGGCGCAGGAAAACAGGCAGAGCAAAACGAACAACAGAACGGAAACAACGCGAAAAACAACGTGTAGGTTCAGCCCTGGTGAGGGCGCCAAGGCGGACCAAAGGCGGTCCCAAGGAACATCTACCCACAAAGGGGGTACGATTGAAGAAGAGGGCGGGTATCGAGGGTTCGGGGCATATGGCACATATGTTGAATGAGACGCGAGCGTCGAAGAGCGAACACATTAAAATACGAATGTGGATGATGTTGCTGAGTTCTCAGTTATGAAGGATCGTTGTCGTTGACCCTCCCACCGGTACCTCTTGTGTTCTGCATTTGAAGTGCCCCCGCCGTGTCTTGCACTTTTATTTCTCGGGGAAGCTCTTCCTGCTAGAATCGCGCTGTTGGCACCTGGACTACCACAGCAACGGCTCTCCCCTGATACTTTTTCACAACTTATTCTGTTCTGGAAACGCCCTTTCTGCGAGAGTTCCTTGCAATTCAATCAGAACCGCGCTCTCGCCTGGGACTTCTGTGCAAGTTGTCCGGGTACCGCGCTTTTGACTCCCAGGTCTGTCGCTCTTGCGCGAGACTTCAGCGTGCTCTCGCGCGAGGCTTCTGCACAGCTTGCGAAGTTCGCTCCACTGCTCCGCCCGACCCGTCGCTTAGGGTCCGCGCGCCCGACCTGCGTCCGACCGTGTGGTTGTCTGGGAGCCCGCCCGCCCGCCCGTGGAAATGCCCCGCCCGACCCGCCCGTTGGGGTCCGCCGGCCCGCCTCGCCCGTGATGGCTCCCCGCCCGTTGGGGTCTGCCCGCCCGACATGCCCGCTGGTGTCCGCCCCGTCCGCATGCTTGGCAGCCCGCCCGCCCGTGGAAATGCCCCGCCCGCCGGGCCGCCCGTGGCGGTTTGCCCGCCCGACCCGCGCGTTAGGATCCGCCCCGCCGATTTTTTTGCTCCTCTTCCCCCCCCCTCCTGATTTTTCTCATCCTCAATATTCCTCTTTACCTCTTGCCTCCCCTTCCTTCTCGTTTCCTCTCCCCTTCCTCGCTCTCTCCCCTTTTCTTTTCTCCCCTCTTGGGGCTGCCCCAACCTCACGTGGCAGCCAAGGAAGATATATTCCCGAAAGGCGGTACGATCGAAGACGAAGAGGGCGGGCACCGAGGGTTTAGGGGTATACGTGTTGAGTGGCTCGCGAGCAACGAAGGTCGACCGCTAGTGAACTTTTTGCTGTTGGTGTGTTGGTGGAACCAACATGGAATTTTTAAGCGGCGAGAGCAAAACACACACATTAGTCGTTGTTGCGATGGGTGCGAGGGACACCACTAGCCTAGCATGGTCAGACTTGATGGTGGTGGTGGTGGTGGTGGTGGTTGAGTTTCATCAAAAGATTGACTGGTGCCAGACGGCTGCTCGGTGGATTTGGAAGCGTACTGCAGGAACTTCTGTCCAGTGTGCATCTCATTTTTTTTTTTTTGCTCGGCGGGTCTAGAGTGGCGTCGGTTCACGTTACGTACCGTGCCAGGCAGCAGCTGTTTGAGTGTTGATATTCTTGGCTCACTTGTAAGTCAGTACGTGTATTTGCGGCTTCGAAGAGTTTAGCTCCTTCAACTTTGTGAGGCGACACATTTGTTCCCCGTCGAGTGTGCCCTTGCCGCCCATTTGAGAAAGTGTCGGGTGCGCTTGCTGACTTCCCAGATCACGCGTGATTTTGTGCGTAGGGCGAAGGTTGGATATATATATATATATATATATATAGAGAGAGAGAGAGAGAGAGAGAGAGAGAGAGAGAGAGAGAGAGAGAGGGAGAGAGAGAGAGAGAGAGAGAGAGAGCGACAGAGAGAGAGAGAGAGAGAGATGAGAGAAAGACAGTGCCCATCCATGTGATTTGCCTCTGGTAGCCAGTCCTCTTCCTCCTTGTCTTGCTTGTACTCATGCTTCTCAGTTTGCTTCTGCTTCTGACCGTGCTGCTGCTCCTTCTGTTCCTCTGACTTGCCAGCGGCGGCTGGCCGCGTCGAACCTTTGCGCGGTACCACCCCCCTGGAGAGGTTTACGCTAGCTTTGCGTTCGTGCTCACGTTCGGCCCCGACGCGCACTTCAGGAGTGATTGTGATGCTGCTGCTGATGATGGTGATGCTGGTGCTGTTGATGATGACGCTGATGATGTTAATGATGATGATGGCGATTACGGTGATGGCGACGACGACGGAGATGGTGATGGAGGACAAGTGTAAACCCAAGACGCATCAAAGATGTTGCAATAAGCCCTCCCTCCAAGTTCCCTATCATAGGTCCAAAAAAGCAATGATGTCCCTTGCGGGAAGTGGCCAATCAGAAGACAACCGTCTTAGAATGCTCAAATGCTCAATCGTGCCGAAGCACAGGTTTTGGGACTTCACAGCTCCGGATCAACGTGATTGCTGCGTCCTGATAATCCTAGACCGTGCCAGAACACCTGTCCTGGACTTCGACGACCAAACGAATCCTGAAACATAAATTGAAGCGAATATGCGCGGGGCCAAAGCGAGAGCCATATGCTGTAAAGGAACCGCCCTCCATCTTTTGAACTGCTGGGCACTTTAAGACGAAACTGGGCGGCGCTAAATCGAGAGCCATACCTGGAAAATCACCCGCCCTCCATCCGTGAAGCTGCTGCATATTCAAGCTTCAGGGCTTCAAGTGGCAACGAAGTCTCAGGCGACACGCCCGTCATGCCCTACCGACACGTCTGGGAGTGCGGCAGGGAGGAGCTGCTTATGGGGAAAGGGGTGGATGGGCCGAGATGTCTCAGGGGCAGTCTAACCGACCCCTGGGAAACCATCCCCTTCCGTGACGCCCCCCTCGCCTCGCCCCAGGACCTATGCATGCGGCCGGAGGGAAGCTTGAAAGGCGAGGACGACGTCACAGAAGTGGATGGTCTGCTAGGAGTCGGTTGGGCCGCGCCTGGACCTCCAGGGACCCAGCTCGTCACGTCCGACGCCTTGGAGCCCGGAGCGGCGCCTGCCACACCTTGCCCCAGCTCTGGGCAGGGCCCGGCTGGGTATCGTCTCGGCATGGGCCCCGAGGGGGCGCACCCTCCGCGCCTCTGCGCCGGCGGCGCGGGCGCGGAGGTTCGCTCGGATCGATGGGTTCGGAGCCAGATCGGTCGGATCGATCGGATCGACAGGTTCGGATCGAATTGACCGGATCGATCGGATCAATCGGTTCGGATCGGATCGATCGGATCGGTCGGATCGAGGATCGTCGGATCGATCGGATCGGTCAGATCGGTCGGGTCGGTCGGATCGGTATTCGCTCGGTCGCTGTCCCTCCGCCGCTGTGTTTTCCCTCTGGCCCTCGCTCGTTCGTCCGTTTCGGACCCTCGTTCGGTCCCGTGCTGCTGGGAGTAAGCTCTTGATTCCAACCCACGTCCACAACAAATCGTCTGGCTGGGCCGCTTTTCCCTGGCTTCGCCTTCGCTCGGCAGGGGTAGGCGGAGGACCCCCGCGGAGAGGGCGCTGGGCAGGGGTCCCGAAGGGGGGATCCGAGTGCCCGAGCTGCTCGGCGCGAGCGGGTACGCCCAGGGAAGCCGACCGGCGAGGCGCCGCGCCGCTGCCGGGGCGTGCTCGGTGGGGCGGGACGGGCCTGCGTGCCCGATTTGGGGGTGGCTCTCGGCGGACCGCAGGCCTCGGTGCACCAGCGTCGATTAGCGTCTGCTGGTCGGTGAGATAGCGCCGATGCAGCGTCGACTTAGCGTAAATTTAGCGTCGGCTTAGCGTCGATTTTGCTTCGATCGCCGTCGATCAGCGTCGATTCGCAAGATCCAACAAGGTAGTATGGGATGCTCGCATGATTTTCGGCCACGCGCAGAGGGGGTCAGGGGGAGGGGGAAGGCTTCTTAGAAGCACCCCTGCTTCTTAGAAGGCGCGGGCATTGCCTGTAGACGTAAGGCCCGCGCCTTCTAAGAAGCAGCCTCCTTCTAAGAGGCCTTCCCCCCCTCCCCGCTACCCCCTTGTGCGCGCCGCCAAGATTTGCCGCAGAAGCAGGCGGCGTGCGAGTTCGGCGAAGACGGAGGCCCAGGCGGCCTACTCCGGACCGGTGGGCTCTCGAGGTGGGCGCGCGCCCGTCGGGAGCGTTCGGTGCGCGCGCGCGCCTTCGTCTGCGCGCTGCCAGTTGGGCCTCTCGGGGTCACGGCTGGGGGAGACGGCTTCTGTCCCCGGCCATGCGTGAGTCACAGGGTCGGTGCATTTTCTTCCTCCTCCTCCTGAGTGCCTGAGTGTCTGAAGGCGCAAGAGTCCTCCTCCTCCTCCTCCTCCTCCGCCTCCTCCTAAGTGCCTGAGTGTCTGAAGGCGCAAGAGTCCTCCTCCTCCTCCTCCTCCTCCTCCTCCTCCTCCTCCTCCTCCTCCTCCTCCCGCTTCACGCTCTGACTCCGGCCGCCGCGGTGCGCCCGAGCCTCGGTCCCTCGGGCCCCGAGCTTCGCCCTCGCGCTTTCCCCGAAAAGAGTGGCGAGGAGGGCCTGTCGGGCGTTGCGTTATGGGGGGGGGGTCGGGGGTGGACAGATACCCCACCCTGACACGTCGATTAGGGAATTGTCCGTTTTCGGGTCTGGAGAGGGCGCCGCGGCCGTCATTTTCCAGGCTTGCGCCCGCCAGGTTTGGGCCCGAGGTCGTTTTCACTAAACCACGTTTTGCTACAGGGGGTTCTGTCCATCTCCCATGTGTGTGTGTGTGTGGAGAAATCGAAGAAGGACAACAAAAACATAAACATAAACTTTTTGCGCTTCGCGCGGATTTCCTGGATCCGCGCTGGGGCCTCCTGGCGGCGCCTCCGGCGCGGCCCTTGACGCGATCTGCGCGTCGGGGAGGGGGGTCCAGCGCAGATCCACGGAATCCGCGCGGAGCGCTAAAAGCTTGTCTTTTTCTTGTTTCTCCCCCCCCCCCCCCAGAAAATTTCACCTTTAGCGGACCTTGGGGGCCCTAGAGGGCTCCTCTGGGGCCCGATGGGGGCACCAGAGGTGCACGTTTCGTTGCCTCCCCGTCTGTCGCCCCTCCATCAAGCAACGCCCGAGCCTGGGAGGCGCCAGGGCAGGTCAGCTGGCCACCCCGAGGGGCCACAATGATGAGCGTGGTTCGCCGACCACGCAGCTTCAGTTCGGGGGAGGGGGCTGGGGGATGGGCCGTGGGGTGACAGTCCCAGGAGCACGTCGGGAAGCCGCAGGGCTCGAGTCTCCCAGGGGCGGAAGCCAGAGGGGCCTGACGCATGTGCAGAACCGCGGCGGGCGTTCTTACGCGCAGTTTCGGGTCCCAGGACCCTCGAGGACCGATATTTGGATAGAGGGATTCCGTGTCAAGATTGGGTTCGGAGCGTTGGCCGACGCCTTTTCGCGACGTCAGATGTGTGTGTGTGTGTGGTTGTATGTGGTTGTGTGTGTGTGCGGGCCCGAGTGATGCAGGTATGCAGACAACTGCGGGGCCGGAGTCCGCTTCGGACGGAGGCCCAAGGCGACTGGAGGGAACCCCGGGGGAAGGTCCAGGTGGGGTAGGGAGCTTGCGAGTGAGCGCCTGGCAAAACGTTCGGGCTCGAGACCCCTGAGCAGAGAGAACCTGGGTGCCTGGAGGACTATTCCGTGGAGTGCCAGAGTGCCAGACTAGGGGTCTGCTCTTACAGGGCGGAGGCCCAGGCGACTTCGATGGAGCTTGGGGGATGCAGGACGAGGGAAGGGGCCTCGAAGGTGGTGGCTTCATGATTGCGGGTTTCTTTTTGATGCAGAAGGGCATCCTCACGGGGGGGAGAGGGGGGGGTAATGTGATACTTTCGATCCGATTTCAAGGGGGCCTCGAGTGGCCCCATGGCCGCCGAGCGCCAGACAGGGACGGGGATGCACGGTGGTGATCGTTTTCTTATTCATTGTTTTGCCGATCGGCGCGGGCTCTCGCACCCCCCTTCCACATGGAGTAGACCTTGGCTGTTTTTGGCGCCTGTTTCCACCAGGTGGAGTTAGGATTCCCCATGGGAGCACCGTTCCAAACAGTCGCGCTAAGCAGAGGTCTGGAGCCAGATCTCCCGATGAGAGAATCTCATTCAAGACGAACGCAGCTGGAGAGAGCACGTGCATGCGGCATGCGCGCCCTAACGGGCTGGCTGTGGCACGCGCGCGCGCGCTTTCCACCCCCTCTCGCGTACCCTCGTCCCTCCCTTCCTGCGTGCGTCCTTCCTTGTCTGATCTGTCTGAATTCATTCATCATGTAGCGCCTGCCGACGCGCCTTTGGGCGTACGGTTTCTGTTCTGTTCTGTTCCCTCAATGTCGAAACGCCGAAGAAGAAAACGCTCACGTGGCGGATGGAATATCGCAGGGGCAGGACCGAGACCCAGGGGCCTCTGGGCACGGCTCGCAGGCACGAGGTGAGAGCGAGGCTGCCGCCCCCGGGGAAGCGGACGCCGGGCTCGGCCTCTTGGGATCCCGTGGGGTGCTGCGTGGGAGGGCTGGGCGGCTGGAAGGGTAGGCCCCCCTGAACGTGGGGTGCCAGGTGAGAGGGGGGCGGGGCCTCCTGGGCCTGCTAGATGGGGTCCGAGCAGATGGGGTCGGAGGATCGCGCCGCATCGCTGGTGCGTCTCCGATTTGGCTCTTTGCTTCACGTCGACGTCGGCGATGCATCGCCGACGTCGACGATGTATCGCTGGCGCATCACCGATGCGTCGCCGATGCATCGCCGATGTATCGGCGATGCGGGGCGATCCTCCGACCACATCTACTCGGACCCCATTTGGGAGGCCTTTCGGACTTCAGTCGACCAAGACACGATTGCATAACCACAAACTTTCGGAGCTCCGTGCGGATTTCTCCGATCGGCGCTGGGCCCCCTGGCGGCGCCTCCGGCGCCGCCCCTGGCGCTCTGCGCGCCGGGGAGGGGAGCGCCGATCCGAGAGATCTGCGCCGACATGCGAAACTTATGTTAATGCAGTTTTTGAATTCTTTTCAGGAGGCGACCAGAAAAGCCACAGGAACCACATTTTAGACAGGCGAACAAAAAGGCCCTGAGGGGTCCCCGGGCCCCAAATTGGGCCTTACACCCCTCCGCGGAGTCTGCAGCAGCAAGTTTTCACTACCACGCGCTGGCGCCCACGGGCCTGCAATTTCGGTGTTCATGCTCAAACCGATGGCTTCAGACTTCTCCTCGGACCCCGCACACCGCGCTGCGGCGCCACCGACGATTGAAATCGGGGGCCAAGAGGGGGGTCGGAGCAGCTCTTCTCAGCCTTGCGGAGGGTTGTGGGATGGCGGGGGGGCGGGGCGTCGGAGGGCGAGGCGCACGCGGGGGCTATAGAGCTCCGGGGTCGCACGCGCCTCACTCCCCCCCCCTCCCCCTCGCCTCCTTTCGCCGGCGTCGTCGTTGGCCGACGCTGCCGCTGGCGTCGTCGTCGTCGTCGTCGTCGCGCGGCCCTGGAGCGCCCCCCGGGCGCGTCCAAGGAGGCGCTCCGACCAACATGTCGAGGCGACTCCAGCCGCGGCGGCGAGGGTGCCCAGAGAGGTCCAACAAGTCAGAAAAGCTCAAGTTGGTTGTCGTCGTGGTCTGTCGTCCGTCGTCGTCTGTCGTCCGTCGTCCGTCGTCGTCCGTCGTCCGTCGCCCGTCGTCCGTCGTCCGTCGTCGTCCGTCGTCCGTCGCCCGTCGTCCGTCGTCCGTCGCCCGTCGTCCGTCGTCTGTCGTCCGTCGTCGTCCGTCGTCCGTCGCCCGTCGTCCGTCGTCTGTCGTTGTCCGTCGTCCGTCGTCCGTCGTCCGTCGTCGTCGTCGTCGTCGTCGTCGTCGTCGTCGTCGTCGTCCGTCGTCGTCGTCGTCGTCGTCGTCGTCGTCGTCGTCGTCGTCGCCGTCGTCCGTCGTCGTCGTCGTCGTCGTCGTCGTCGTCGTCGTCGTCGTCGTCGTCGTCGTCGTCGTCGTCGATTGTCGTCGTCGTCGTCGTCGTCGTCGTCGTCGTCGTCGTCGTCGTCGTCATCATCGGTTTCGTCGTCGTCGTCGTCGCTGGGCAGGATAGACCACCCGGACCACGCTCAGGGGCTCCACGAGCTCGACGCGCAGCGCTCCGGGAGACGGGCGCCCCTTCGCGAGCTCCTGCGCCCGCTCCTTGGGCGATCGACGTTCGATTCGGACCCCTGCTGCTGCCCCGCGCTCTGGGCGCCAGGCGGAGCAGGGCTCGGCGGCGAGCCCGTGGGGGGGGGGGGAAGTGAGAAGCAGCGGGTCTTCTCATAAGGCTCGGAGGTTCCCTGGCCTTCTGAGGAGCTTTCGGAGCCTTCCCCGAAGGCACTGAAGACTTCCCAGAAAGCTGGAGGGCTTCTGAGAAGTCCCGCCGCCTCCTTCTGAGAGGGCCTTCTCCTTCCCGCTTCCCCCTCGCGCTCGCCGCTCAAGGGCGTGTGAATACAGGGTCCGGCTTGAAGAAGGAACACTTTTCAAAAGGGGCTCGGTCGTTCCTTGGGTTTGCATGTGTTCCGCTACCCTTTTGGCGGCGAGCCCCCCTAGTGTTCCTTCGGAAAAAAGGGGCTTCGTTCCTTATTTATCGTTCCTTAGGTCAGGCCGACTACTGTACAGAACTCTGCTCCAGAGGCGTGACTTCCATCCATGCCGCCACTCTGGCCCCTCGTCGGGCTGTGGCGTGAGCAGGGGCACGGATGGAGCGTCGATCGCTTACTCCTCGAGGAGGAGGAGGAGGAGGAGGAGGAGGTCTTCACTCGGAGGAGGACCGACGTTTGAGGACCGAGGACCGGAGCTTTTTGACGTTTTTCGTATTTTTTGTTGGCCCGGAGCTGCCTCGTCGCCGCGGGTGGATACGCCTCCAAGCTTGGGCTACGACACACCCCGAGACAAGGCGGGGGGTCGACTGACGCCCCCCGTGCTCAGACCTCCGCCGCGACCTCGCAGTGCTGGCGTGCTCTTCTTTCGCGCGCGCCCCCTCGCGGCCCCGCCGCGTGAGAGCACCCTCTTTTCCCTCCTCCTGCCTCTGCGGCCGCCTCTCGTCCTCTCCGCTCCTCTTGCACGCGGGGTAATTCGCAACACCGAAGCCAGGTTGCCTGGACGCGCGTGCGGACTGCCTCTGCCGCGCTGCGGCGTGAAGCAATTCTTTTCTGATTCCAGCTCCGGCAGGCCCGTTCCTTCAGGCAACGATCCCGGATGAAACATCGGCCCTGCGGACGGGGTCGCGACTTGGAACACATCACGGGGTCGGAGTTCTTTGTTCGCAGGATCTAGGATCGATCTGCTTTTACTGCTTGTGGGCCTGTCTGGGCCTCCGCCAGGGGCTCAGGGGCTTCCTGAGAGTGGCCCCCCCGGCACCAGAGCTCTGGAGGCCTCGATGCATCTCCGGAGACCCGCAATGCATCTCGCTTGTGTTTTTTCGTCATGCTCGGCGCCCGGGGCCGTTTCCGGGCCACTGGGTTATTTAAAGGGCCCATGATGAACTAAAAGACACCTTCATGGACGGGCTCGATCGAGAGGTTTGGGGGTACGGATTGAACATATTCCTGGGACCGACACAACCCATCTACAAAGTGTGGCAAAAGGAGCGGATCCATACACGAATAAACATTTGAAATGACGTTCTGTTCCGTGTGAATCGCCATTGGGATTTCGTTCGTTGCACGCCTAATGAGAACTGGCTGAGGTGGCACGAAAAGAGAGAACATGGATGGGGAATTCCAGGAGGACGACAGCAAGGAGGAGCAGCAGTGGAGGATACAGGCCGTTGATAGACGATGGGGATGGTAACGTGGGCAATGGCGAGCACCAGCACAAGGAGGAGACTGAGTACGGCATGGCAAGCGGGGAGTTTTTGTTGTTGCTGCTGCTGTTGCTGTTGTTGTTGTTGTTGTTGAACATTATTTATTCTAAAGAATAATTATTGTTGGGCCCCCTGGTGCGCGCCCCCCCTGCGCCGCCTAGGCCGCAGCTACATTTTCATCATTTTCGTGAGGAAGCCTCAGAAAAGAGGGTGTGTACAGGATCCGGTTGTTTTGTTGTAATCCGCTTTCCCTTGCAAAAAACAATAGAAAATGACATTTCTTGTTCTAATATAATCAAATTTCAAGAATCCCTTGCAAAAAATAAGGTAAAGTGGACATTCGCGCGCGCAAGACGAAATCCTTCCAAAACCTTAGTGTTCGCAGCGATTTTAACATAAAAACATCAAAAAACCAATGGTTTTTCAACAAAAAATTGTCAAAATCTCATCCCGCGCGCTCTTGCGGATTCGTAGGAAACCCAACACTTTTTAAACATTTCTGTCAAACGGGCTTTTGCGAGCAACTTTTTCGAACTTCTGCAACAACGGTTGCGCACCTGCCAGGGCCATCATCCCTGTCAAATAATACCATGCGGGACACATTCGTTTTTTCTTCGCGCGCGCACGCCGTCGTCGTCGGCCGCGGGGCCCTGAATAGTAGCCACGGTCGTCCGCATGCCACGAAGTGAAGTGTCCGAACGTCATAGGGCGGGAAGCTGGGTGTGGGTGGTGGCGAAGAGTCGTTTGGAAATTTGGTAGAGCTTGAACCGGCCCCCCCACAAAGTGGGGGTATTGCCCGCCTCCTATGAAAACCCTGGCACTGGTGAGAACGGAGTGTCCCCACGTGCTAGTAATTGTTGTTGTTGTTGAACATTATTATTCTAAAGAATAATTATTGTTGGGCCCCCTGGTGCACGCCCCCCCCGCCCGCCTAGGCCGCAGCTACATTTTCATCATTTTCGTGAGGAAGCCTCAGTAAAACGATGTGATCCAGATCCGGTTGTTTTGTTGTAATCCGTTTTCCCTTGCAAAAAACACTATAAAATGACATTTCTTGTTCTAATATAATCAAATTTCAAGAATCCCTTGCAAAAAATAAGGTAAAGTGGACATTCGCGCGCGCAAGACGAAATCCTTCCAAAAGCTTAGTGTTCGGAGCGATTTTAACATAAAAACATCAAAAAACCAATGGTTTTTCAACAAAAAATGTCAAAATCTCATCCCGCGCGCTCTTGCGGATTCGTAGGAAACCCAACACTTTTTAAACATTTCTGTCAAACGGGCTTTTGCGAGCAACTTTTTCGAACTTCTGCGACAACGGTTGCGCACCTGCCAGGGCCATCATCCCTGTCAAATAATACCATGCGGGACACATTCGTTTTTTCTTCGCGCGCGCACGCCGTCGTCGTCGGCCGCGGGGCCCTGAATAGTAGCCACGGTCGTCCGCATGCCACGAAGTGAAGTGTCCGAACGTCATAGGGCGGGAAGCTGGGTGTGGGTGGTGGCGAAGAGTCGTTTGGAAATTTGGTAGAGCTTGAACCGGCCCCCCCACAAAGTGGGGGTATTGCCCGCCTCCTATGAAAACCCTGGCACTGGTGAGAACGGAGTGTCCCCAGTCTTAAATGATTGTTGTTGTTGTTGTGTTGTCGTTGTCGTTGTCGTTGTCGTTGTGGTCGTCGTCGTCGTCGTCGTCGTCGTCGTCGTTGTCGTTGTCGTTGTCGTCGTTTGTTGTTGTTGTTGTTGTTGTTGTTGAATATTATTCCTTCTAAAGAATTATTATTGTTGGGACCCCTGGTGCGCGACCTCTGCGCCGCGCCTAGGCCGCAGCTACATTTTCATCATTTTTTCGCGAAAGCTTCAGAAAAGTGGATTGTGTCCGGATCCGGTTGTTTTGTTCCCCCCCGCTTCCCTTGCAAAAAACAATAGAAAATGAAAATTCTTGTTCTTACTTGATCAAATTGCAAGAATCCCTTGCAAAAAATAAGGTAAAGTGGACATTCGTGCGCGCAAGACGAAATCCTTCCAAAACCTTAGGTTTCGTAGCGATTTTAACATAAAAACATCAAAAACCCAATGGTTTTTTAAGAAAAAATTGTCAAAATGTCCTTCCGCGCGCGCTGTCCGAATCCCACGAAACCAATGGTTTTTCAACATTTATGTTACATGAGCTCGCGCGAGCTACTTTTTCTTGTTCTAACATAATCAAATTTCAATAATCCCTTGCAAAAAATAAGGTAAAGTGGACATTCGCGCGCGCAAGACGAAATCCTTCCAGAACCTTAGGTTTCGTAACGATTTCAACATAAAAACATCAAAAACCCAATGGTTTTTCAAAAAAAAATGTCCAAATTTCCCGCGCGCGCTGTCCGACTCCCACAAAACCAATGGTTTTTCAACATTTATGTTACATGAGCTCGCGCGAGCTACTTTTTCTTGTTCTAACATAATCAAATTTCAATACTCCCTTGCAAAAAAAAAGTAAAGTGGACATTCGCGCGCGCAAGACCAACAAAAAACACGACGATCTCAGGAACTTGCCCCAAAAATGTGACCAACTCCGCTCTCTCTGTCTCTCTCTCTGTCTGCTCTCTGTCTCTCTCTCTGTCTGTCTGTGTCATGTATTGTATGTCACAATTGCAGGATGCTGGGCACACGCGCGCCCCGAATAAGTGACCAAGTTCTGTGGGTGTGTACCCCACGCCAGTGTAGTAGCCACGGTCGTCCGCACGCCACGAAGTGAAGTGTCCCAACGTCATAGGGCGGGAAGCTGGGTTTGGGTGGTCGCGAAGAGTCGTTTGGATATTTGGTAGAGCTTGTAATGCCCCCCCACGAAGTGGGGGTATTGCCTGGTGTCGTATGAAAACCCTGGCACTGGTGAGAACACTGAGCGTTCGGGTAAAATGATTGTTGTTGTTGTTGTTGTTGTTGTTGTTGTTGTTGTTGTTGTTGTTGTTGTTTTTGGTGTTGTTGTTTTTGTTGTTGTTGTTGTTGTTTGTCGTTGTTGTTGTTGTCGTCGTTGTTGTTGTTGTTGTTGTTGTTGAAATTATTACTTCTAAAGAATAATTATTGTTGGGCCCCTGGTGCACGACCCCCCCGCCGCGCCTAGGCCGCAGCCACGTTTTCATCATTTTCGTGAGGAAGTCTCAGGCAAAACGGGTTGGTCCGGATCCGGTTGTGTTGTTACGATCGGTTTTCCCTTGCAAAAAAAAGCTAAAGTGGACATTTCTTGTTCTAACATATCCAAACTTCAAGAATCCCTTGCAAAAAATAAGGTAAAGTGGACATTCGCGCGCGCAAGACGAAATCCTTCCAAAA